GAATTGCATAAGAATACCAGTTTATGGGATAAAAAATCAACATAAACAGCAACACATCTTAACTTCCGTGGTGTTCTTCAAACAGCTGTCACCGTTTACGGAATTTCCAGTATGAACTGCACGAAAGCGGCCAGCTGAATAACGTTTGGATTCGTCTTACTCACCAGACGTAACAAATTGGACAAAACACTAGCGAATACGCAATAATTTGCAAACTCATAGGCGAAACCGGTCGTGGGCTGTCGACGGATTTTCAGCAACCTCANCGCAGTTTCGCGCAACTAGTCAATACCCTTTTCAGAGACTCTGCACGTGAATTATCACGATTTCTGTGAAAGACCATTCCCTTTAGAAGGCACAAATCAGCTGAGATCCATAACATCTTAAAGAGCAACCACTGCCATTGGTCATCATAAGCGCGCGCGCTGTCGCTTGCCTTAATTGCTACACACGCATGTGTGTACGCCACTGGTTACAAGGCCTCAACTATGCATGATAGCCCAACCTGACCGTATTCAATGACCCGCATCATCATAACTCTTTGAATTGTAGCTCCCTTTGGCTACTCATCACAACTTCCAGGCCCATGCTATGCGCACCACCGGTTACGAAGCCTTAACTGCGCATGACAGCCTAATGCGATTGCCATCGACGGTCCTTCACCGTCATAAACGTCCGCGTTGTCACTTCGACATACTCACGCATGTAAATAATAAAACCATCGCCTGTGAAATATTTCCCCCACTGAATGAATTGGTACAACTAAAATGGATGGCAGCTCAATTTCGTTTTCGGAGTGCTAGGTCCAGTCGATCGTGAACCTGAAATGAAGAATGTTTACCCGATTTATTCTCGTTAATATCGTAGATACATTTGGTCAAACGTCTCACTGTTATAAAGGTAAACTTACTACCTGCCCAATTACTCCATTGTTGGTAAAACTGGCTCCACGTGTACACCGACGATGCGATGTCAAGACTCGGCGATCACACGTACGACTGGACGCAGCTAATTGAAAATAGAGGTGTGCATACAAGATTGTCGTAAGGTCGGGTAACATGGATTTGATACCTAGAATTCAATGGCCTAGTGCTTCTTCAAATGTGCATTCATGGATGTAACCTTAACGAAGTTCTAGTAAGTGGGAATATTGGTGATGTAAAGCTGCTTGTTTTGAGAAATTGATCCTTCTTCTAGCCCAATTCTTCATCCCGTCACTTATACCTTGCAACTTAGTAGAAATAACAACCCTGCCGCCCTCAATAGAGCTTGTAATTATCAGGAAGGTTAGATTCCTTAGAGTAACTTCAGAACACTCGGAACCCAATGCTTCACCAAAATCTCAACAGGAAAGCCGGCAGGTATTGTTGATTACCATCCCTTCAACGTTTATCTTCAACCGCGTTCACAGTCCGGTTACTATGTCATCAATATTTACCTTCATCCACTCACATGATCTGTTCAACGCATGCATACCCATTGTTTTATTCCTGTCACGACTAATCAAGAAGATTGGAATCTTATCCTAAGCCAAAAAATGCAAGCGCATCCTCATTCACAACGTAATCATATATGCAAGCGAAACAGCGACAGCAGGAGGCCGATGCTCGTCACTTCACACAGCGCCTTGACCAGGGTCACTTCACACCTACGCACGGCTCACTGTGCAGGAAAAGTCTGGGCCCAATGTCGTTTTTATTAAACGACAAGGAATAGGCCAGATTTCAACACACTTCGTCAAGACCCGCATTCAATTCCGCTGCGTCATACAAACCTCGGCTGCGTCCACTACAATTTATCAAATGAAGAACTCGACGAATCTCTTATTTTGTTTTGTGTACTACTCAGTTGTGCTAGTGTCCCTGGTAACCCCTATACATAACAGTCTATTGTTAGTGTTATTTCACCTTCTGATATTACTTCGAGTAAAAGACTATAGCACTAACAGTATCCAGGTCAGTCAAACATTCAATCAATTCAGCAAAACCAGATGAGTGTTCTCGCACGCCACAGAAGCACGACCGAATGTGATCAGCGTTCAGGCATTTTATAGAGGCACGATCGATGTTGATGGGTGTTCACTAACGCCTATCAGACAGCCTGGATCAATGTCAGAAAGTCTCCTTTAAATAATGTGAAGCCGTTGTAACTTTTGCTCTCGCACTCGCCCGGTCGGAATATAGCGAGTGTGTTCCCTTCTCTGAGTAATTTCTCCGGCACTAGGCACTGAAGCGGGTTAGCAGCAGATACCACATTTCGGCGAATCAGCAGATATAACAGTAATCATCCCATACTCAACTGCAGTGGCACTCATCGAACCGGAACTTCGCTGTCGGTCACCGTTCATCACCCCGGTGCTCACATTTGTATGCCTAATCTTTTATTAGCTCCAGCATCCTATTATAGTTGAAAAAGCTTCCACTTATTACAGGCACCTAGCACGCGGAAATCCGTTCGCTATTTCGTGCCACCCTGATGCCTTTTTTGTCTGTCATGTGGGATTTGGCTTCTTTTATTTTACCGTTCTCGCCAAAGTATTGCCACCCGTCTTCACCTCCACAGCCATGTCTAAACTATCTGAATATAAGTGATTGTCTAGGATAAACATTCTGGACAAGTTATGACCGACACTGACTTAGATGTTCTTGTATAACTAACTATGACTGTGATGGCACACCATTCAGTTGTTGAACGTTATTTATGGTCACAAATCGTAAAACCGGTATGCAGCCAACGCATGCACCGTTTGTCACGTCTCCCAAAAAGATTTAGATTGTCGTTTCTCGAATAGAGCGGTGTTAATTCACTACATCAGTTTATTGTAACCACTACTAGCTGCCTACTATTTTGGGCCGCAGTCAAACTTATTCTTTAGTGTCCTCTGAAATACCATTCTCATACTTTCCGATCTTGAGTACGCAGTCTACACACGGGTGTCCTATTGCATGGCCCAAGTGGCAGCGATGAAAGACCGTATGCCTTCGATGGACCCATGAATATTCTTGATCCACGGTGCTCTTTATTTATCAAGATTCCCTGGCCAATCCAAACTATCCCAGCAGCCGCAGCTGACTCACCCAAGATATTCAACTGCGGGGTTGTCCACGTATCCAATAGAGTATGTGGAATACCATTTACAAACTCACTAAGTCTGCTAGCTGCAACGACTTCCTTGGCTTTGTCTGACGAGGCTGTCGCTTCAAGTATGGGAACGCTTTCCCTGTACGCGTCCATGACGATTTTGCGCGGGCAAAGACGATGTAATTATTGTTCACGTACTCCTTCAGAATATTTCCAATACAACCACGTAGAAAGAAGTTTCCACAAAATTCCCCACCGTAACCACGGAGACATCATGCTGAGACACAGCCACTTAAAACACGAATTCTGCGCCAAGGGCAGGCCTTCTGTACTCTTAGACAAAGTTTAGAAGAACTGAGACTCTTGGGAGATTTTCAGGTTTTGAATAAATACTGTCAAATGCTGAACCTTTATGTAAACGTTTCCCGTATCCAAGCTTAGATTTCAGATAGTGGCTGGGTATGTGGTTGAGGATCGGGCTGTACGTCAAATTCCACTTGTGCGGTGTCTTATACCCGACCAAAGTAAGTACTCGGAAGCTTTCTTGCCATTCGTTCGCCTTGATATAACCGAGCTATATATACTCCCATCTGCTTTGTTTGGGTGATCACGGATTCCAGAAATTTCCTTAGGTCTTCGTTAAGATTGCTTGTGTTTCTCTCCCGGGTGGATTTCTAATCGAAATTCGTTTTTTGGGGGGCTCCCTGCCACGGTCGACCCAGCGGGCTTAGGCCTGCCTCCAAATACGTTTCCTCAAAATACTTCAAGTTGGTCTTATCTATCTGGGTCTGCCTTTCCAGTTCACCTGATCGGATCGGAATTATTAGGTATCACGTACAGGAGATATCCTCGGCGTACGAATATTACGGCGTAATAATTTCAAATTCGCCAGATGAACCTCCAAACATGCAAGTCCATCATGTTCTGGAAGCTTGTCTAAATTTTTCATGTTGCTGCTATCATTAATATTTCCATAATATTTACTCCATCTAGTGATAGTTATAATATTTCCCATCAGTCTGACGGCGCAGGTGGTATTGTCGCAAGCGATTTAGAACATTTACGTACGGTTGCTTTTTTGGCAGTGCTGCCCTTAAAATTAAGCAGCTTGACGAAAATTGCCGTGCAAATTCTGGGAAGTCACAGCACTCGAGGTTACTTACTGAAAGTGTTCTTCCATGACAACATGGTCCGGCAGGCCGAGGAAGATGTGTGACTAGTAAGTGTGGTTCACCGATGAGATTAGAGAGTACATATTGTGTGCGGCGAAGGATCGCTCTACCTAGTGGAAACCAATCAATCTATTTTGGCGGACCCTACCCACTGAAACGCAGTTTGCGGGTGTGCAACCCTGCCAAATCCCGTGAAGAGAAATGCAGCAACAGCCGTAAATAACTTTGAAATTGGACTGCTATCCACGCTGTCCACAACACGCGCATCAGGTGCCGACTTTCGTTTCTGCGACTAATTTGTGCGCCTTTTCCCTGAAGGAGATGTCACATCTTCGGTCGTTGCCGACCTTCACAAGTGCTGCGGTGTCCTTTATGGTCGAACCGGATGGTAGTCGCCTTACCCGCATCCAAATGTGCCTAATGAACAAAACAAAAACATAGGTACAGGCTGTCAGGGCTGCTCTCATCCAAGACACGTCGCAGTGCCACATGCACGCACGCCAAGCGAACCGAAACCGCTGAGCGAGAAGAAGAATCCAGCTGCGGTAGTCTTGGTCGTCTTGTCCGTTTCCCGGCCGATTCAACCATTTCAATGCACAGAGTCTGCGAAACCTTTTGACTCCCACTTGAGCACGAATCTGGGAGGCCAATTGCAACATTCGAGTCTGGCCTTCGGCTTGTTAGGGCTGAGCTCTGAGTGCGGAATCGACCAATCAGGTCGTTAACTTTCACGTTTTTCCCGTTGCGGCCATCGCTCTTGTCGCGTAGGCTAACTGTGGATTTTTACTTATGCTACCCTCAGTGCTTCTCAAGCGAAGGAGCGAGAAGCGTCATGGCAAAGAAAAAAGGCAAAAGAAGGAAGATGAAATACCTCAGGTTTGAGTGTTTCCCTCCAGCTTACCTTTTAGGCAGAAGATGAAGACGACGAAGTACCTGAAGTTAAACAAGGACCAGTAATCAACGCTAATGGCGAGGATGTTCGTAGCCGAAGCTGCCCATATTTAGACACAATAAGTCGCAATATGTTGGATTTCGATTTTGAAAAACTATGTTCCGTTTCCCTTTCCCATCTCAACGTGTACGCGTGCCTTGTCTGTGGGAAATACTTCCAGGTGGGTCTTTAGTAAACCCTGTGGGTTTAGCTTAGAAAATCCAATCCGTACAAACACTTCCAACAGATCCTCGGTCTCAAGTCCGTTTCATCAATGTTCTGCTGTTAGCCTTATCATTCAAGAGCCTGGTAAAAGCGGGGTTTGACCTTGTCGACTCCATGACCACCAGAGCACTGCAGGAAACCAGCCGATCAAATCCAGATTAGAACCAGAGGATTCAGCTCTAGCGCCGCAAATCACAAACTGAGGTGTCTTCATCGACATTCGAACATCGGGTGCTTTTGTGCTTGCTCACCACAATTGGGCACAGGTTGCTGTTATCATTGATCTTTGGCTCGACGCTCCGCATCTAGTGGACACACCTGCACCATATGTTCAACAGATGTGTACACGGGCGGAATCCGCAGATTTGTATATTCGGATCGGGAAATGTTCGAAACAGCTCGTAGTTCTGGGTTGAGTGGCAACGGTGGGTGTGAGCGGGTTAGCGGCGCAAAAGAAACTTACCTCGATGTTTTGCATAGCAAATAAACCTATTTGTGAACTTTAATGGGTATCAGTATTTTGGGTTACTACAAGTCGCCCTCAGACGAACTTCAAAAGCACTTAAATGTGAAACTCGGATGACCACCCCAACAGTGCGAGGTATTGTATTAACTGATTACCACAAAATATCGAGTGCTTTTCTTTATTTTTTTACAAACACAGCCTTCGGATGCCACGAAATTTGGAAACTCGTCATAACGTGCCGCTAAATACAATCGAGGCTATCGTGTAGTTTCCAGGAATAGTTTTTGCTGGTCACCACTGGGTTCAAAATTTGGCGACACAAGTACGGCTTTTACCCAGTTATGTTGTGGATGAAAAATCGGTAGAACTAAGAACCGGAACCCATCCACAATTTCCTGGACAAACGTACCAACACAACCGATCTCAGTTGCCACAATCCACCGAGGGCTGGTGAACACAACGACAGTTCATATGACCCTCAAATGGGGATGGTGCCATTTAAGATGCCCACTTAAACCTACGGCTGTGCATATAACTGGGTGCTTAAACGGTTCAATCCAGATTTAGATGCAGCGACGAGCCAAACGAGGCTTCGCTAATCGTGTTTCCTGCTAAGGGTCGTCGGTGTCGTTCGTTTGTGGATGGCTCATAACAGTTTTTAAGTATGTGAGTCGAACCTGCGGCTTGAGAGTGGCATTGACCAGACGTTGGTACAGGGTCTTCAGGCTTTCCAATGCCATTAAACTGCGTCTTACCAGTTCTGAAGCCACACCTTCCACATTTTAGGGATGCCGGAAGGTTACATGTTTGGTCAGCATGCCAGTTACCTCGACGGCTTTCTGAACACTGCTCTTTCTCACTTTGTCGGCCCACCAGATTTTTTTCAAACGCCTTTGAAGCGTACTGCCTGTCCCAGTTGGTGCGTGCTATCCTTGGGTTTCAAACAAAGTCTTCCGCATCCACTACATGGAACATTCGCGTGCATCTTATTTCCCGCTGTTTATCGCTGGATAGGTAGTTGGATAGGATAGCTGCCAAGCCACCCGAAGAAAGCACTGGGGCTGGGTTACTGCCAGGTTGCCCAAGCCTAAACCGGGGAAGCCGAGAGGCAGAGGTCAGGTTAGAACCACGGACCTTGTGGCCAACAAATTTGCGCTCTAACCACAGCCACCTCGCCCCCGTCGGATAAGAAGGCAGCTTTGTCATCTATGTTTTAAACACGGTTCCTCGTAATGTTGCTCCGTATCCGGGGATTGTGAGTTCTGTAACTGTAATGCTTAGTCAGGCGTTTTACAGCTCACCAAGCCGCCAGTCTCGTACTGTTTAAGTTGCGAGCCTATGAGGCAGGAAGATTTGCAAATAGTACCGCCAGATTGTATTCCACGGGTCTCTGGGTTTTCAGTGAGTTATTTTTGGTAGATTTTCTAGTAATGGTTAGGTCTATCACTAGGTGTAAGCGGTTGACTCATTTTCAGTATTCCAGAAGGCGGATTTCACGTACAGAGGCATTTGTCACGGAGTTACAAGATTTTAGTCGTTCAATTGTTCTAGTCAGGGAGGAACGGCTTTCCGTTTTGATTCTATATTACATGGGTGCTGCTTCTTGGCATGGGGTGACTGGATTATTAAGTCGCAAAGCTGCTGACCAATATGCCTGCGGTTCGAGTTCAACCTTGATCTTTCGGTTCTCCTTGTCGGCCTGGGCGATCTAGCAATATTTCGGTCCCCGGACTTCTTTAAATTCACATAACAGGTATATACCGAAACGGAGCTACTGGGTGGGCCTCACCCAGATGCGCACTTGTTATATCTCCGCTAATGACAACGAAAGCAAATTGGTGAGCTCAACGAACAGTCATTTCGTGGTCTGTATAATTTTTTTATTTGATCAGCTTACCACAAGTCACACGAATGTCTGCCGTAGGTGTAGCCAATTGTTTTTTCAGGAGGCGCTACTCCCCCGAGTAAGCTCGTTGGTTTCTTTCTTGCTATACCTTGTTTTGCCTTCTCTGCGGTTTCGCGCGGCTGCTGAACAAATTGCTTTTCTCTCTCGGAAATTCAGACACACCATCAGAGACAGCAACGTCAGTGTTAACACAGATGCTTCACTGCCGTACAATCTTAAAGCCCATCAAATTATATTTGAAGCCTTAGAGTGAAGGGAAGAGAAAAAGAGTGCGTGTGAAAGAGGGGTCTAAAGCCTACGTCGAGCATTCTGAGGTGCTTACAATTCCAAGCGCTCAATCAGACAGTCTGGAAGGAAATTGACTGCACGAACGCGATTGACGTCAATCAGCCGCCATTTTTAATATCTCCAGCAAAGCACAGACGGGGTCATGGGGACCCTATCATGGAAGTTGCACAACACGAACAACACTTAAACTCTTTGTGACCTTTTTCATGCCCTTCTGCCGAGGCATACATTGTCCACCTCGCGGTTTGCGCCATTCCGAAGGAGGCACGGGGAACAACACTCGTCTCGATAGATGGTGTTTCGGCATGTATAGCACATGACCGAGCCACCGCAGCTAATGGTGTTGGATGATTTCCATCGCACAACCAAATACCCGTTTTCTAATCATCCCGTCGGTGCCATTCAACTCCAACGACGCTTCTGAGGCATCGGTGGTCGGAAACCTGAAAACGCCTCACATCATGTGTCCGTATAGGCCACGTCTCGCATCCCTACAACAACGTATCCCTTATTGTAAACTGGCACACGTGACCCATTGATATGACTTCTTGGCGCTACAATTGACGCAACTTAGCAAACGTTACTCAAGGTAAACTGGCCACGTGACCCATTGATATGACTTCTTGGCGCTACAATTGACGCAACTTAGCAAACGTTACTCAAGCCTTTGAGATTCTTGCACTGACTTCATCAGACACATTTTCCTCAGAGTTAAGTTCTGAGGTATGTAAAAATTTCCGCAAACTCCAGTTATTCTCCTTGAACTGTGAAAAGTATGTTCAAGGGTTGCACGTTCCGGAACATGGCTTTTCAAGGTGCAAGGCGCATGCCAAAGGAAGGTGTGATGCTGGTCAGTCTATTCAACAGGACTTGGGCTTCGCTTCGGTCTTCAAGTATTAGGGTGGTATCGTCTGTCCAGATCGACAAGGCTTTCACCAGCAACAATTTGAACGCCGGGGTTTTGAATACCGTCCAGTCTTCGCCTCATTATTTCATCAATTACGAAGTTGAACAAGAATGGAAGGAGTAAAGAATCTTATCGATCACCACTTTTTATAGGGAAGCTTTTGGAGAGCTCGCCATACTCATACACCCAGATATATGTGAATATAGGGATAGGATTATGCTCACAACCTGGGGCACACTCTGTTGAGCAAGTGTAGTTAACTCCATTGAGTGATCGACAGAACCGAACACACTCTTGAAGTCAAGAAACACCAAGATTGTGGGTTCTCTGTACATGTGGCGTTCTAACACCTGGTGAGTGGGGAGATGGGGCCAACGCAGCCTCTATCCGGTCCAAATCGCGCTTGTTCCCCACGAGTCAAGGTCTTGCGTGTCATAATAAGACGAATAATTAGTGATGCCAGAACCCTTGACACGACAGGAGTCGAACTAACGCCTATGGTTACTACACTCACTGCGAGTACCCCTTTTGAAAATGGACACTGCTATCGATTCACCCCAGTTGTCTGGGATGGTCTGTTTCTTCCAGATAGACCCAAAGATGCTAGATAGTTAGTCTGAGAGACCCACCAACATCCTTGAAAAGAGCGGGTGAAAGGTCTTCAGGACCAGCAGCGCAGTGACGCCTAAGTAGAGACTGAGGGTGGCTCCGTATTCTGGTCCACCTTTCTGTTAAAGCCAAGTGTTCCGGATTGGAGGTAGCAGGTGTCTATTTGAATTGGTGTTCCCAGCGGTCCAGACGTTCTGCTTTGCTGCATATCAGGGAACCATTTTGGTCCTTGATTATTGCAGTGAGAAAGAGGTTACCTAAGACCAGTCCACGAATCAAGTGGAACGATTTGCGGATGATTCCAGCATTTATTTCTTTTTCTATTTCTTCGGCCTTTCGGGTCCACTAAGCTTCTTGGCGTCGGATGGAGTTATGGTTGCGATCAGGAGGAATGTCTTCGGGCCTCTAGCAAACACAGGGTCCTATCAGAGATGCAATGTGTGGATGATGTTGGCTGGGTTGTACCGCAAACAGAAGTTCCGTTTTTGACCAGCGCTTAAGATATTTTTCCCAGTAGCCATTTATATCTGACATCGGACCGTCCGGCAGGCGTTCGAAAAGCTGGTTTTGATAGTTTTGTTTGACTTATGGGTCCACTAGCTTTTCAATGGTTAATCCAGGTGTGCGCGCAATGGAAACCATCAGTGTACAAGTGCTTGGTCGGAGTCCACGCTGGTGTTCCAGAAGAAGCGGCAAGCAGCGATCGACCCTCGCGAGATGGCTCCTTGGTTAAAGCGCGAATTTACTGACAGGACGACCCGTGGTTCGAACCCGACTTCTGCTTCTTCCCCTATCTAGGGTTGGGCAACCAGACAGTATTCCAGCCCTCGTGCTTCGGGTGGCATGGCAGCCAGCGATAACTGACGGCGATGTGGTGTATTCGGATTCGTGGCTGGTTTCTTGGTCGACAGCGCGTTGTCAAGTGATTTCTGCTGTTCAGAAAATTCGTACTACAAAGGAACAGTTTGTGATCGGCATACATCTGAAGCAAACGATCTCCGTTGTCCGTACATCTCGTGTCCAATCGAAAACGACCACCCAATCGGGCCTCAGCAGCGCTTAGTCTACCTACCTGAGCTTTCATGTCACCAGCAGCCTCAACGATATATGAGTTTTTAGCCCGCTGTAGAAGGGCACCTAGAGCGTCATAGGAACTGTCTTTGTTAGGTTCAGAACTACAGTCAGTTGGGGCGTAAGCAGGGTACGATGGACCTCATTTCCTCTAGATTCTCCCACAGACATTGCCAAACGAACCGTACAGACGCGACTATCACCGGGTATACAATCCAGTAGAGGTGCTTCCGCTCGTTCGCTCAATACAATACTCACCCTAGCATATCCAACTGCAGCGGCCTCTGCATCACCAAAGGTGCAGAGCCGGAACCTGGAAGAGGGCTAGGGGGCAATCAGTTCAATCACAGCACTTGCGTCCTGCATCCTTGTTTCTGGTGTACAACATACATCAATGCAGAGGGAATCCAACGTACGAGCAAGAGCTACCTGTTGTCTTGCTGCAGTGTGCGAACATTAAATGCGGCTAAGTAGACAGGCCTTCGGTGTTTGAAAACAAACTTCTAAGTGTTTAAGGTTGTTGCTGAACTCTGACTTACAGAGCATGCAGCTGAGTGTAATGCAGTGCGAGCAGAACGGTCAGTCCTAGTACCAGGACCTTCTAAGAGGGTATTAAAATTTGGGTGGGATAGGGTAGAAGAGCGAAAACGTAAAAGGTTAAGAAGAGAAGTGTCAGTAGTGCTGTTTCCCCTTAGCCGTCCTGCTCTATGCAGCAAGTAAGGCGACAGTCCTAGTGGACCTTCTAAGAGGGTATTAAAATTTGGGTGGGATAGGGTAGAAGAGCGAAAACGTAAAAGGTTAAGAAGAGAAGTGTCTGTCATGCTGTTTCCCCTTAGCCGTCCTGCTCTATGCAGCAAGTAAGGCGACCTGGCTGGTGACACCACGCGACGGCCAATGTGGCATGAGAGTATTGTTGGTTGTAAATGTCATGGTTGTATGGGGGCTGGGATACTGCCAGGGCCCCGCACATACACAGGAGGACGATTTGGGTCCTCAGCCAAAGCCTTTGGTTCAAAGGCTACCAGCAGGGCAGCGGTGTTCGGCATTTAATGCAAATGCGTCAGCATTTTATAGAACAAGTCGCCCCCAACCTGGAGGGCCAGGAGACTGTGTTGGTCAGGCCTTTACCCACTGACCAACCTGGTATGAGGCACTGCGAATGTCGCGGGGATACCCCCCTATATAGCTCAATGGGTCGCCGAGGTATACACACCGCCATACCACGGTACGATCCAGTCTCTTCATGACGGACAGGATCACACTCATAATACTGTCATTAGATATTAGGTATTTCGGCGTTTTATAGACAACTGGATGAAGAGGCCCCCTTTTGTTATCAGTGGTTACAATTAACTACCCAAGAAAATCGTCCCGTTTTGTGAGACCTTTGGGGCCAGATTTGTCAAATTCCGCCATCGCCGGAGCTTACCACGTACACAGATCCTGGATACGGCTTGTGTCGCTCTAGTTTATAAGTTCATTGAGTTTACGAAGCGCTTTTCCCCAGCTGTTAGGTAACGCATTTACGCAGTAACACTTGGAAGGAAAATACGTTAAATTCATCAAGTAGGGTAAATAGTAAGATGCAGTTTCATGAAGTCCACTCTCAGTCTATACTGTCGAGATCTATTTCAATTTTTTCGTTGCTGTTGCTCACGGCCGTATCCATTTTTCATGCACGCAGACTAACCAAACCCTGTTCAAATCATTCTGATTCCTTATCCAGGGTCGCGGAACGTCCACACACGCCTACACACACAGTGTGAGCGAAGGACATCACGTGTTTCTCAATCTCGAAACCCATCGTTTCTATTGTCTCCCGGACGACTACGAAATTATCGATGGTTCACTGGAAGATATTACCTATCTTCTAAATCCTATCTTTACCGCCGCCGAAATCTCCTCTCTGGACACAAATAATCGTATGGTTAGAGCCTATAATGGACTTACCTATTACCAAGGCGTTGTCGGCTTGAACAATATCAAGGTAATATTTATCCTTCTCGTTGTTGCCTTTTTATTGGATTCTCATTTTCCTCATATTACTGTACGTCCCCCAATCATTTTTTCGTGCTTTCCCAGGCGAACGACTACTGCAATGTGATACTACAGATGCTGGCTCACGTCAGTCCACTTCGCGACTACTTCCTCAATGCCGTCAACTATCGGGGCATGAGCACCACTTCTAGTGATCAAATGCATTTACTGGTACAGCGTTTCGGGGAGTTGATTCGCAAGCTTTCCCGCACATACACAGGAGGACGATTTGGGTCCTCAGCCAAAGCCTTTGGTTCAAAGGCTACCCGCAGGGCAGCGGTGTTCGGCATTTAATGAAAATGCGTCAGCATTTTATAGAACAAGTCGCCCCCAACCTGGAGGGCCAGGAGACTGTGTTGGTCAGGCCTTTACCCACTGACCAACCTGGTATGAGGCACTGCGAATGTCGCGGGGATACCCCCCTATATAGCTCAATGGGTCGCCGAGGTATACACACCGCCATACCACGGTACGATCCAGTCTCTTCATGACGGACAGGATCACACTCATAATACTGTCATTAGATATTAGGTATTTCGGCGTTTTATAGACAACTGGATTGCGAATGTCGGATACCCCCCTATATAGCTCAATGGGTCGCCGAGGTATACACACCGCCATACCACGGTACGATCCAGTCTCTTCATGACGGACAGGATCACACTCATAATACTGTCATTAGATATTAGGTATTTCGGCGTTTTATAGACAACTGGATGAAGAGGCCCCCTTTTGTTATCAGTGGTTACAATTAACTACCCAAGAAAATCGTCCCGTTTTGTGAGACCTTTGGGGCCAGATTTGTCAAATTCCGCCATCGCCGGAGCTTACCACGTACACAGATCCTGGATACGGCTTGTGTCGCTCTAGTTTATAAGTTCATTGAGTTTACGAAGCGCTTTTCCCCAGCTGTTAGGTAACGCATTTACGCAGTAACACTTGGAAGGAAAATACGTTAAATTCATCAAGTAGGGTAAATAGTAAGATGCAGTTTCATGAAGTCCACTCTCAGTCTATACTGTCGAGATCTATTTCAATTTTTTCGTTGCTGTTGCTCACGGCCGTATCCATTTTTCATGCACGCAGACTAACCAAACCCTGTTCAAATCATTCTGATTCCTTATCCAGGGTCGCGGAACGTCCACACACGCCTACACACACAGTGTGAGCGAAGGACATCACGTGTTTCTCAATCTCGAAACCCATCGTTTCTATTGTCTCCCGGACGACTACGAAATTATCGATGGTTCACTGGAAGATATTACCTATCTTCTAAATCCTATCTTTACCGCCGCCGAAATCTCCTCTCTGGACACAAATAATCGTATGGTTAGAGCCTATAATGGACTTACCTATTACCAAGGCGTTGTCGGCTTGAACAATATCAAGGTAATATTTATCCTTCTCGTTGTTGCCTTTTTATTGGATTCTCATTTTCCTCATATTACTGTACGTCCCCCAATCATTTTTTCGTGCTTTCCCAGGCGAACGACTACTGCAATGTGATACTACAGATGCTGGCTCACGTCAGTCCACTTCGCGACTACTTCCTCAATGCCGTCAACTATCGGGGCATGAGCACCACTTCTAGTGATCAAATGCATTTACTGGTACAGCGTTTCGGGGAGTTGATTCGCAAGCTTTGGAATCCACGTAACTTCAAGACACATGTCTCTCCACACGAATTCCTTCAGGTATCCCGAATGTTTCCGCTTCAATAGCCTTATCAGTTATCGCTTCATAAGTGTTTGGTTGACGATGTAGTTTGAACAACCAGTGGTTGCTTAACTTTTATAGTCCCCGGTGAAGGCTGATTCGGCGAGTCTTTATAGAAACTAATGTTCTCACGGATTGACGTTTTCTTCGGTTTGTGTTCAGTTCGTTTTGTGTCCCATGCCACCCGTAACAATGTCGACGTGTGTGCTGAATAGTGCTAGGGCTACAGAAAACTCGTTATTCCTTCTGAAACTATTTTGTTCATTAATGTAGATGCTTGCCTTGTGCCACGCGGTATTTTCCCAAAATGTGCCATTCCTTTTCAGGACACCGCCATTCGCCACCAGTCACAGTTCACGTTTATTCAACCCGATATAGAGAGGCTATCCCCCAGGACGGGTTAAAGGATTGTATTTACCGTGGATAATAACATATTTTTCCCACCATCATCTATACTGACCACTTCAACTACCAACTGGGAGCTATTTTTACTTCACAGTTCTTCGAATTTCATTGGACGTTCATTCGACAATACCAGGACATACAGATCTCGCCCCAAGTTTTGTCGTGTGAAGGGAAATTCAAACGTGACACATGTTAGATTTCTAGCAGTGTCTATGACATCCGAATTCTCCCCGTTATCGTCAATCGTTTTCGAGAATTTAAGTGTCTATTGCCGGGCTGATAGAGCTTTTTCTGATTAAGTTATAAGGCGGAAACTAGAATCAACATTGGTTTCCGATAACAGCAATAATCCCTGCACCAGGGAGTACCACCCTCACCACTGGGAGAGGGGACACTTATCCCCTGAAGAAGCATCATCTCATTTTGCTCGCCGTTTCTCTGCAGGTGCCTCCTGAGTCTCAACTTCCTAGAATACCAATACATTCCATCCGCTAAGCGCTGCCCATTCCTCCAAAACTGTTAAAAAAATACCTACCAATCGCATCACTTGTGCTCCGACGGATTGATAGATTATTGGTGTCTGGTCTATGGGAAATGATCAAAACCTGCTTTGACCCCATTCACCATTGTGTGACCGTAAAGTCCTTTCCGGAATGGTCACAAACTTGTTATACGTCACGTGATAGGCATTCAGCTGACTCATCGTCCTTCGGCCACGCGTACCTCCAAAATAATACTCGCTACTGTTTGCGTGACTTCGTTAGTTTGTGCATACAGCATGACACTTATTTGCATATCAATATGGTTTTGACGGTGGATTCACCTGGAATCTAGCTGGACCTCCGGTTTATAATTCGATATCCATCACAATTTTTTGTGGAGTTAGGGTAGTGCGCGAATCCGAATTGCCATCACCGTCCGGTAAACTTCTTCGGATGGCAATACTGTCACTTATGGGCTCACTGTTGTTAAGTGAAGACACGTCAACTTAGCACAATGTGACTAATCGCGGTTTGTCAACAAAATCACGATATTCTCCAATATGTTTTTGTCTGTTTTGATAGTTCGGTTCATGGGTGGTGTCTGGTGAAAGGTATGTGGATGATGGATTTGTGATCACTCGATAAGGATTCTATCGTTACCTGTTCACTTTTACCAACACTTTGCATAATGATGTGTTCACATTTGAACTAGGAACTGACGAACATTCGGTCGGATTCTAGACTTTCTGGACAACTTTTTAATGTCTGCCTAACGAAAACCAACTCATCCCGGTCGGCATCCGACTTGTCGCTCGTCATCCTATCATGCAGCAATCAATGGTAACGTCGTCGATAAATGGAGCAACCAAGCTTTTCTCAGACAAGCCCCGGAAGGCCGTGAAGTTGGGCGTACTCAGATACTGGTGAAACTTCGCTCATTAAAAACCGGTGAACAAGTAATTCAAGCGATTTTACATACGACCTATGGGAACAATGAGAAAGTGTGCGATTCTGTCACAACTTATCATGTGCACGGTGTTTTGGTTGCAAAACGCAACAGAATAGCCCATGAAGCCCCGAATTGGGAGGTGCTCGAGCCGATGGACCCAAAGATTTGCACTGCTAGTCCACTCCCATAAGAGCGGAACTCAAATCTTTCCACCTTCTGATATGGATGCAGCAGAGTAATTCCGCCACCATTTGGAGAGGACTTTTAAAAAGGGTGATGCAAATATGAATTCTACAGATCACACAATCAACTGCAACTAATGTGTTAATGGAACACTAGGGTTTTGAATCTGTCGTATCAGCCTATTCATGATTGCTTGAATTCACCAAGGGTGAATGTTACCATTCGGTTCACTCTGAAAGTCACGTCTTATTTGAGGAATCCAAACAATAATCGAGGATGGCTCGGTTAATGCAGTATATATTTACGGCAAGAATTGGTGGCAACAAACGTTTCAGACGTATTCACGTTTCGAAAGACTACGTGGGTCATCGACAGTCGTCGCACGAAAGAGTACTCTTGACCGATCCCAAGGATGCCCTCTCCAACGGGGGCCATGGTTTGATCAGTTTGTTCCGTATTGTGCACATGAAAATGAAACATGGTTCCATCCCAGTGTGTCGAATGTTCCGGTAAGGATGCTTTCTCGAGTATGACCGCATGACCAAGTTTCCAATACGACAGAGTTTGTTACTTAACGTCACCTTCAAACGAAATCTTTGTGAAAGAGCGTGTAAAACATCTTTTGTTGCATTCGCGAACGTGCACTCTGTGGGGCGAAGTGAGATGCTGTGTATAAAGCGGTAACGATATTTTGGCCAAAAAACGGGATTTTTGTTCATTTTCAGCGCTGAAGTTCGGTTACTTCAGCGCGGGAAAGCGACTTCGCACCAGAATTGTGGACGATCCTCTACTGTGACGCGTCGTCTCTATACCGCGTTATTATTGTATGTTGTTTTGCCAAAGGTTATACAAAACTGAATCTCATCTGATGGATTGATGAATAAACTACAAGCTAGGTCTGACTAATATGCATAGGGGCAAGCCTAGTTTTGTCCGACGACCTTAATGGCCTACTGTGTCTATTCTTCGGTCAATTATGTGATAGGTGGCCCGATGTATCTATTCAGGTGTTACTGGAGTCCAAAGAAGGTTCATCCCATCTGTAATACTAATCTAATTGGCAACATTGCTGTAATCCGTTCTCGTGAAAAACCTACGTGAAGAGTTTTCAGCCTATCGTGTCCATCTGTTCACTTTTGTATGTTTGACCTTTCAGATTTTGGTGTAAAGCTCCTCGATCATACGACACCTTCAGTGCTCTGCTCAGTGACAGTGCGAAACACTGTTTGTTTTTTATGTTTTGTTTGTCATCTCGCTTCACTTCAACCTGTTCAACCATCACCATTCCCATACCTTCAGGCGGTCGTCTTATGCAGCAGAAAGCGCTTTCAGTTCACCGAACAAGGTGATGCCGTTGAATTCCTCTCCTGGTTACTCAACGCTCTCGATCTCGCTCTACATCGGAAAAGGTTGTCGATCAAACCCGGTTCAAAAGCGACTCCTGAGAGGACGGTAGTTTCACGTGCACTGCGCGGAACAATGCGGGTCCATAGTCGAAAGATAATGCCTGTAAATATGAGTGAGGAAGAAAAGGCTACTCTGGTTGACAACCCAGAGTACATGGTAATGTGTTGTGTCTAGTTCCGTATGAGTGGTTCACTTTTTGGAAGCTCTACTGGTTTGTAGTTTTTGTTTGTTTTGTTACCATAACTACAGCTATTATGCGTATTGTAGTCAGACGCACGCCTATTTGTCTTTAAACTTCATGGTTCGAAAACGATAGAAAGTTAGCTCACTAGTATCATTGTCACAAGTTTAGAAACCAACCGCCAAACCATCATAAAAAGGCATGGTATTGGAGAAAAGGAGAAAAGGGGACTGCCTTGATATCGAGTGACTGTTATATCTGAGTACATTCGTGTAAGACATATCAAAAGACTACCGACCAAGAAAGTGCAATATCCCTGAAACAGCATTAACGGGTGACGGTGACATTTTGTGCATCTCGTCAGCGAAAGAAGCCTCAGTGTTGACATTGGTACACAGTATTATGCCTGTGGGCCACGCAACATTACGTAAGAATGCAGAAAATGGAAAAAGCATGGATATAGGGCGAACCTTGGAGCGCAAATCGGTAGTTTATGCTCCGCTGCTTGTGGTAATCATTCGCATTATCCCTACGCCCCTATTTTCGGAGACGCGATGGACCGTCTATGCAGTTCTTGTTTAGGCCCTAACATTTACTGCCATGGCATTTGTCCTCCTGGTTGTTTCTCTTGGTAGATACCTGGTCGAGCGATTAAAACCCGTCAAGCTAGGCGGTGAGCTGGTATTCGAAAGACGTTCAACCACCGGGGGGTTTTGTATCCGGCAATCACACTCATAACATTTACTGGGACGTGCTACACACCAACACATCAGCATATCTCATCGTTCACATGATGTCCCTACCATTAGCGAGCGACTCCTCCCTCGGTGATCGTTGCAGTGTTGGGTATCTTTGGCACATAAAGAGCAGATCCCACTGACCCACAACAGAGCTGCGCGTGCCCGGGGCGTTATATACGCGATTTTTTATCTGATGCCGAGATCTTTGAGGACCCGAAAGTTTTGTGAGCTTGTGAAAGTACCAGACCGTTGGTTATTCGATTTTCAATCTCTTCACTGACGCCAGTGGAGTTAAAGCAGCTCCTCAGATAAATAAGCTTGCCAGTACATCTTAGCATGTCGTTTGCAAGAGTGAGTAGTAGAACCAGATCGTACCAATCAAATGATTCACCTTACATTCACAAAGGGCGTGGCGCACTCTGAAGTGTTGGGCTGATACTTCCAGGTTGTCTAGCGTAAGGTGTACCACTTGGGGCCGTGTCTCAGGTCAAGCAATATTGTCTGCGTACTCTAGATCTTCCGGCCTATTATCTAAAGCAGCGCCATATCTCCACACGGTGGGTTTTCCGTCGCATATTGGATGATTTCACCGATAGCGAAGATAAACGAAAACAGTGGTAATGAACAGTCTTACTCCGTTAGTGATGTTAACCATGCGCGACAGCTGGCCATAGATTCGTACTTGACCGGAGGTGTGCTTGAAGGATCTTCACAGACTTTTCGTGTACACCCTTCCTGTTCATCTACATCCAAATTGTGACCGTAGCAACTTGATTAAAAAACAGGAATAGCGGGCTGACGGTAGGCGTGGTAGTGCAACTGGTAGGCAACTGTCACAGGAAAAACATCTGTGCATCACCGCCTTCCGTTTCTCACGGATGTATTGTTCCCGGTATTCAGTAAGACGGCAAAGAACGATGATTTCGAACAGCTTGGATGGGTCCGATAGCAGATTGGTGCCGTGGTAATTTCTGCTTTTGCAAAGTCCCTTTTGGAAACTGGAATAATTTTGGTGGAATTCGTCATCTGATATGTCTTACATCCTAGATTTTCTGAAGCGGTAAGGTTGATTGACGACTTAGGATAGGGTCTCTGGTTTGAACGTAACTATGTGTAGGTCGTGAAGAGACTAACTTGATGGTTTGTGCACCTCTATAACCCACTGAACTCTGGCGAGGAATATGTGTCACATCTACAGAGCCTCTCATACCGGATTGACCGATGGGTAGAAGTTCGACTAACACGGTCTCCTGGTCCTGCAGGTTCGGTGTAGGAGCGTTTTTGGCTTAAAATGTGGTTGCTTAAAAATTTAAGCTGCTCTTGCGGTCTTACGCCAAACACCGCTACTTTGCGGTTAGGCTTTTGTGCCAGATAATTTGATTGGGGGCTTTACTCGTCCTCTTTCTATGCATAGGTGCCGTGGAAATATCCTAGTCGATGTAAAGCCATGAATTGCACAGTTGCAAATGACCCCATACCACATGGGTTATCGCATGGTATCATCAACCGGGTTGCCCCACAGACGGTTAAGTGCGAGCAGGCTACCACCCTTTTCTTCCTGTATCCTCCTTATCCATCCGTTGCTTGCGACATTTTCGTAGGCCCGTTCTTAAGAACTGACAGATCCGTCTGTAGCCAATTATCGTTAGTTGCACTACCTACGCTTATCGCTGCACCATAGCTGCCATAACCTTGAAATTGTTCTTCAAACTCCGACGCCTAGTTCATCTGGCAGAATCCAACGTTCATATTCTGAATGAAGCTGTGCAACAGACCGCTCTTGAATGTACGCTGGACGCACTTTCTGTTGATATATGCTGTCTCTGAAACGAAGATTCAAGACCCAAGTACGGTTCTTCAACTGACTTACGTATCGACTTACTCTCGCCTCGGATAGCGCACCGCTGGTAATCCAGAAACCGTTGCGGCTGGTTCTGCCGAGGTTTGAATGGTTTTAGGCGACCGAGCTGGCGGTTCTCCGCTTGAATTGTTTTCATTCGACAGTTCGGTTCGTCTGAAAAGTATCCCTCATGCTCATTGTATCTGCCTACGCTTTACTAGACTGTAGCTGCGATACTTCCAAGTGTAGCTTTTACGATATTTTGAGTGTTATATCCCGACGGGCTGTAGCAGCATTTGCACTTTCCGATAGCCGATATTCAAAAGTTCTGTTGATGCGGTCAGAGATAAGCAAGGGTTGATTGTTGGTGTGCTCACCGAGCTTGGCAGTCTGATTGCAACAAAAACCACTAAGCAGCGCACTCGAGCTACCTATATTCCACAACATTGCCAATAAGCAAGGGCCTTAGCGCCGTATTTTTATCATATGCTACTTCACGGCTCCCGGGTCATCCATCTTACCTTTTCCTTCTGATTATCGACCCACAGCCGTCAACGGTGGAGACGAAATTCTTCTACCTTACCTGTGACCTTCCACCCCCGCCGTTGTACCTGGACGAATACAAGGAAAGCATCATTCCTCAAGTGTCCCTGTCCACTTTACTGGCTAAGTTCAACGGAACCACGGAGAAAGAATATAAAACACACCGAGATTCTGTAATGCGTCGCTTCGAATTGCGTCGACTGCCGCCTTACCTGATTCTATATATGAAACGGATTGTGAAGAACATTTTCACGTTAGAGAAAAATCCGACCATAGTCAATTTCCCCATAAAAAGCATCGATTTTGGGGAACTTCTGGATGCGGAATGTAGAGCTCACCATAAGTAAGATTACTGCGTTCTTTCTTTTTTAAGATAAAAGGAACTTTTTTCATCGCATTTAAGTTGTACGGTGCAGTGTGATAACACGTTGGAGTACCCAGTCTAATATTTTCCCCTCTGGCTTTTAGAGGTCATTCTCAGTGTACTGGAATGGCGAATTGTGCATAACTACCTCCAGCAAATCTTCAACTGCCAGTAACCCACGCCGGTGGGTTACGGCTTTCAAATTGTGTTACTTCTGAAAGTTTCTATTCAAAATGAATATTTGGAGGTGTAAGTGTCTCAGAATTTTGGGGTTCGGCTTATATTGAACCCATTCTGTTTCCCACTTTCGCCTCCATACCACCTCTTGGCTTGTTCAGGTGATAATAAAAACCTATGATTATACATGGTTAAACACTAATCGTTCAGCTGTAGCACCCTTTCGGTGCCTAACTGCCATGCCACCCGAAGGTCGCACGAGGGCTGGGATACTGCCAGGTTGCCCAAGCCTAGACAGGGGAAGTCGGGAGGCAGAGGTCAGGTTCGAACCACGGACCTTCCGGTCAGTAAATTCGCGCTCTAACCACTTCGGCCATCTCGCCCCAAGCTAATGCAGCTATGATACTGGGGTTACCGTCGATTATGCTGGTGATGGTTTAAGCAACCGGGTTGCTTGGGATTGTTACGTCTATGTAGTTTTTACAACTGATTTCAGGTACACCACGTACGATCTGGTTGCAAATATTGTACATGATGGGCCACCTACTCCCGGTTCCGGAACTCACCGGATTCACCTACTCCATCGAGGTACAAACAAGTGGTTTGAACTGCAAGATTTGCACGTGACCGAGGTACTTCCTCAAATGATCCCACTCAGCGAAACGCTGATACAGGTAAGCTAGTTGTGGGCGTACATTGCTGTTTTCATTACACTTGCATCCTATCTATGATACCTTTCCTTGTGTATCGCTTTCTGCTTATCACATAGAGGACTCTCACGTCTTCTGGTTGAAATATTGGTCTATTAATAGGAGTTGCGTCCAGAATTGTCAGTAGCCTCTGGTGAAATCCAGATGATGCTTCACTCGCGTGCTCTTCATCGTGACATCTTCAGTCCTGTCCGCACACATTTAATGTACTTATTGGCAGTTTGCTTCAACCAATGAAATTGTTCATGATAGGCTTCAGTAGTTCGCCAGAAGGAGCTCTAAAATAACTAAGTCCCCTGGAGGACCGATAGCCGCCTTCCCGGTTCATCACGACCTAGTGCGCGACCTCCCTAAAGAGAGGTAACCAACAGAAACTCATTGTCCTCGTCCTGGTTTCTCTTGAGAGTATCAACCGAAGTTTTCTAGTCTTGGTATCCACCGTGACTGAATTACGTACTGGACGACTGTACAAGTGTTCAAAACTCATTTCAGTTAATCTTTCAGCTATAAATCCTGTACCATAGTGCATTGCTTCCAGTTGCTACAGTTTGGTCCACAGAGGATAATGGGAATAAAGGGACGATAACGATGCACGGGCGCGATGGCGTAGTCATCACAATCATTTGGCATCAACACCAGATTGTAACAGTGGTGCTTCCATATCGTTGGTTGTGACGTATCCATAACCACCACTAGTCGTTGGTTTGCCTCGTCCCGGGCTCCCTTTCCAGAGAAACGTCGGTTATCAACGCGGCCTACTTGAATACTAAGAGATTCCTTGCTTCGTTGTAAAGGTATGAGTTGATCGCCCTTCGGTAGTCTCCATCTGAAAAACAGCCTGGCGAGCGAGGCACACGGTTCTTTGGCATACGAAGTCCATGGCCTAGTGGCGTCCCTATGTAGTGCGATCAGCTGATTTATGGAGGGAGAGTTACCTTTCTTGAAGACTATCTGGCGTACCTCAGCATCACAGATCCGGAGTTCCCATAAGAGCAGCGCGATTCTTTGGAGGCATTGATGACCACAATATATTATTCCAAGCTCTACACGCACTTGTCACGTCTCTGATCCACGAAGTATGACAGATCGAACCGCAACAATGTACATTCTAACGTTGACAGTCAAACTGATGTCATGTCGGCGACACGAGTATCGGCGAACGCTGTCTCGGCCTTTCTGATTCCTCAGTCTGCCGGGAATTACGCAGCTACCCAGATAGACGAATTTATCCACTAAATCAATCAGTTCATCTGTGAGTATGAGATTTGGATTGAATCCGATCCAGGCATGAAGCGCATACCAAACTGTGTAGCAGAATAATTTAGGTTTTTTTGACATAGTTTGCATTTCCAGAGGGTCTGATCCAAGGGCACTGTTGTCAGCTTACTCAATTTTTTTTTAGTGAAAACCCCGGGGGTATTTCGATCTCGGAGGTTTTAGAGGCAAGTAGAGAAGACTCAAGCAACATAGCGTTTATGAAGTTAAAGACTAAATGTGATAGAGGGCACCCTCGACTGACATCACTGGATGTGATGAACTCAGAACAATTTGCCGTAGACATTTATGCGTCCATGGAGGAGGCATGTAGAGCTTTTGATGGACAATAATTTGGATAAGGCAACCTCTATCCGCAGACACCATTTCAGTTTCTGGCGATCAACAGAATCAACAGTGGCCTTGAACCCTAGAAAGATGGTCATTGTTGATCGTCAGATGGGATGGTGCAGCTCCAACACTCGTTGCAATCTAGGTCAAGGTAGACCAACCGGTGTGGGATAAGACTGAAGAGCAACTTGGAAGCTATGGCCATCATAATCAAAGACAGCAACATCAGTGTTGGCACTAATGCTTCACTGCCGTAAGCATGGCCACTAGACTGACGTTCCGGTAGTTATTTATCTCATGATGATCTCCCACTCACTTAAAATATAGAAATCACCCTCGAGACGCTCAATTCTGTCTTCATCCTAGGTATTTTGGAGTAAAACAGTCAAGCTGGCCACAGGAATTCATCTCATTCGGAGTATGCAGAATGGATTTCATGTAATTCCAACACCCATGTTAGGGTTCTGCAATTTCTCAAACGAGACAGGTCATTGGCCCTGTCTTAGTGTCTAGAGTGACTGGTGTCAGAAAATCTACAGAGAAGTGTTGATTGCAGACCAAGTGCCCACTTGAGTCTTAAGACAATCTAAGATACGTAAAGAAACAACATTTTGCGGAAATGCTTAACCTGTCTTGGAATGTGGAATACTAGTACTTTGGTCCTCGGGTGGGACTTGACCAACCGAACGTCACAACTTGATAACTCTGCGAGGAGAAACTCAATTCGGCATAACGGATGAAAATAGTCAGCTTTTTGAGTTCTAAGCTCACTGTCAACTCAGGACTATGTAATCCGCATAATCCATGTCTTTAAATGAGGTCCTGGACAGTGGCTGTTGAATTCGTGACGATATCCTTCGGGACATCATGTGTGCCAAATTGAGGTAAAAGCGGAGGTCGCGACACCGCTCGGGATAAAAAGGATTAAGAAATTATCTCATCATAAACGCTTAGTTTTTCACCTTGTATCCCTAGAGTTGCTCGTCAGGATCCCTCAACAAATAGCTACCACTAGTTTTTTTGGTCCTTCTGAAGTTCCGTATGTCCAACCCATGACATCCACCCTAAGGTTATCCACGGTCGGCATTGGGGCTATTCTGACCTACTGTCAAAACGAAACACTGATCAAAGGTCTGTTTCCACGGAAGTAATGCCGCGTGTTCGTGCAAGCGGTCAATATCAAGCGTGAAGAGTGAACTGCACCAAAGCTCGGTGTCTAAAGCGGAACACGAAACCATTTGGAGTCAGTTTTTTGGGATCCCGGAACATTTTTATGGATTTCACTTTCTGCATCAGTCTGCAGCGGTGCTCATTGCCCCTATGATGACAACTTCTGTAAGACAAATTCCTAATGAATGCACGCGGTATTCAGGTACCACTTCCCTAACCAATTAATTAAGATCGCTAATCTCAAATCCTGCTGACTTTTGAACCTGGACTTTCCAAGCACCATTTCACTGAACAACGCAAGCGAGAACCCTGGAAATGAATATGTTGCCGTAGTACAACCCTCATGGATATCCCAGGAATTGCTCAAACGGCTTTAACTGTCATAACCATTTGTATCAGCTGTGTACACTAAAACATTCGTGTATATTTATCCATCCTGTGTTTGCTTTTAGGTTTGGGCTGTGAACAAATCAATTTTGAATCCAACTTACTCCCCGTCAACACCGGCTGTAGCTGGCGAAACGCAAGTGGATGAAACTAAAGCCAACGGAGGACCAGAATCGACAGAAGCGCAGGAGCAAACTTGACTGCTTTTACCTGCAACTGTACACACAGTTTCCCATAATTTTGATATATAATGTTTTTGAGTGTGTATTTCCCTTTGTGTCCAAGGGTTTAGTGTGGTATCAGAGCCACAGAATCAAACGCGACTTTGAAGCAAGGGACAGGGTTGCTGGCTATCCATGCATATGGCGCTGTCCTGGCAGTATGTGTGTGGTTGATGCGAACCTCACCCCGTCTGAATTCCGCTTGTGTTGCCGTAAGACGATGCTAGAAGCCGTATCACGACGGGGATAAACTGTCACCGCTGTAGTTAGCATTTTCATTGCACCGTTCCGTAAGCTAGGAGGTACAACGCGGCCATTTCGTTACTGCGATGAAAGGCCCCGCGAAATGGTGTCACATTGTGATTACATCACCCTGCTCTAGTCGGTCTCAATACGTTGGTTGTAAAGTGCGATGCCCTATGAATCTTCATCTGTGATCACCGAAAATTAGACCTACTGATAGGGCTTTTTGGATTGGCAGTGCGGGTAATCCATGTTTTTGCCTAAGATAGGTCACTGGTTGTGGGGGATCGCCAGTCACCAAGACTGAACAGTGCAGAGGATAACCGAACTAGTCAATGCAGTACGTGGGACGGACTTTGGATCCCTCAGAACTTCTAGGTTTTCAAGTATTTTGCTGATAGGTCTGCATTACGTATTTGTTCTTCACCGAAGAGTTTCCCCGATATGATAGTTCTGGTATAGGATAGTAAGTTCCTCCGTGCTCGAGTGACACGTCCAACAACGAATCCAATACTGCCCGCTTAACCTAGGTTTCTGAGGCCGTTACGCAAACTGAGCGTAGTGTAGAATGTTATTCTCCTCCTACCGGTCGCATAGATTTCGTTTTTGAAGAGCCCGTCCCCAAAGGTTGCGTAGCCCACAGATGTGGAAGTAGTCGGATCGGAATCAGTAAACGAATGGCGCGAGAGAGACGTATCAAGGCAGGAGAATGGAGTTCATTTCGGGTACTCTTGGTGAGAAACTCCAGAGAGGTTATGACAGTTCCAAACCAGCCTATTCACTCGTCTGACTTCCTGAATTGCGTGTCACAACTGTCCAGGACCAATGATTTAACGGTCCTTTTGTGGTGAGGTGCCGCCTAACCCGTGTGTGCATAAAAAACCACATGAATGCTCTACATCAGATACCGCTTAGCACAGCACTTGTTGGGCTTTCCGAAATAGATTACCCATTCCTTGAAGAAATAATCCCCAAGGGGACGAGCTTGGAGGCACGGAACGTTTCCCCTGAAACCCTCCGCACAACCGGAGCGACCTTTTCTGGTTTTCTGTAGGGATAGATTACTACACCACAATGGAAAAGTACTGTCGATTCAGATCAACTAGTGGGCCAACACTTCATAAGCACAGCCGACATACTAACAATCCGCATCACTGAACTGCATTTGATCTAGTCGGTGATTCCGATTCCAGCATCAATGGGCAGCAAATTTCACAGGCAAAGAACGGATTGAAGCGAATGCATGAGATGATGCGACACATGATAACTGAGTCATCATCATTGTCAGGTGTAATAACCGCGATCATTGTCATAATAACCGCGTACTCGTCGTACAGTGGTTGTAGCTGCCGCAGTTTCGTTCACCGATGATTTGGGGGAGGGGGAGGTAGCTAGCTATTGCAGGCGCGAGCTGACAAATTGGTGCATAAATCGCGCATTGTCAGTGGGCTGTCAAGTGGGGGGTTGGAAAAGGAGCTATGCATTGAAGGTAATAGCTTTGATGCACGAGCGCCATTAAGGGCGCGACTGGGACATGTCTGACAGTGTCTCTAGCCATTGATGTGGACCGTCTCGGGGTCCCCATCCAGGAAGACGGCAATTACCAGCGCAGCTGAGTTTGCTGGTAATGACTTTCACACTTCGCTGCCAAGTCATTGTTTGACCGCCTCTGGCTCTCTTCCACCCTTCAC